TTCTAGTCTGAAGACGAGGGCTGCCGAGCACACTAAGCTGTCTCACCTGGAGGTTACGCCTCCTTGTGGCACAAATTGGAACCACACTCTAAATTACATTTTACACAAAATAACAGAACTAATGCTCCCAATTAGACATTTACATATTGAAATATACACAAAAATAAATCACATAATGTGAACACACATTTCTGTGTGTCACATATGCATAACCTTGTTGTCAGTAATACTTACACAACAGTGATAGAGGCTTTTGATCCAGTACATTTCAGTGAGATTAACAAGAAATGACTAAAAGGTACATTAAAAATTCCCATCAGACTGATAAGACATGGCTGGTTATAAACTCTATGGAAGCCCTAAGCAGACATGCATCTCCACATGTTATTACTGTTACTTCTCCTCCGTGATAACGAGAACATTTTGGTTGTTTATTCAAGATCTCAATGTTTCTTGTTATCTCAGGACAACAACCTTGTTTTTTTTCTTTCTCCTTCTCTGGCGATCTCTGGGTGACAAATACTGTTCAGGAAGTAACTGCCATAAGTAAAGAAATAAAATTATGTTTCTGTTTCTAAAACCACTTGTCATTCAGTGGACTGACCGACAGAATTTTATTTTTTATTATTCATCCCAAACTTGGAAATTGTGGTTGTTACAGCAGGTTTCCGTAGCAAATAAAGCTCCGCAGAAAGAAATACACGGCCAACAAAAAGGAAAATATATATCCAGAAATGTGAATCAACTGTAGTAATATGTAAACTTTAAAACGTTTACGTGAAATATGAACATAAAATGCTTGTTCTTTGTCCATGTTTTTATGAACACCACAGTAAAGAACTGTAAGATCATGACGTAAAATCTTTCATTAATTAACGGTCTCTCCCACCATTTGTGACTATGTGTGATTGGTTTCACAGATGTTTTATAAGGAAGTGATTGTTAGGCCCTCTGTCCACATAGCATTTTTTCTGGGTTGAAAAGCGTTGGCTGTGCGCTCAGGAGAAATTGAATGAGCGTTTTCGGCACTGAGAGTTGAAGAGCTGCACGTCCGTCTTGTCTCGATGACAACAGTCTGTTGAAAATGGCCGCTGTTTGACCGACACTGCCTCGTTGCTTATTGCTGCAAGTTTCATATTTGAGATTGTTTTTTTCTCAATCAGACACAGAGCAAAGAGTATGTGGATACAAGATATGATCCATAGGAGGGGAATATCTTACATTTTGATAGAAAGAGAGCCGGTGACATCACCAGCCCCTATCTGAAAAAGTTGAAAGATATTCATCTCGAAGTGCTCAGAGCGGTATAGTCAGTTCAGGATGAATACAGGTAATAACATGATTTGGCCAGGTTCTAGGCATCATGCCATGTCCAGACTGTGATGGATTCTGAGTTACTTGTACCTGCCTTTGTTTGATTCTTACTCATCATCCGCTGAAACAAGTAATACAAATACATAAAAACACAGTTAGCTCCCTAGATACAATCAGACTGCCATTGCCTAATCTCTTCCTTCACTTTGCCAGCTCAGTAAGGTCCTGAATGGACAAGAAGGTGTTCTTTAATTTGAGGAGGCCAAACTATGCGTGGTTGTTGCCAGACAACAAAATGTTCTTGGACAAGACAAAATCTCCACCTTGTATCCAAAAATTCATTATAGGCTGGGAATTCCACTTCCACACCCTGTGTGTATCGACATACTGAGATAAGTTGGATGATGGGAATATTATCGGCTGTGGCTCAGTTGGTAGAGTCATCGTCTCTCAACCGGAAGGTCGAGGGTTCGATCGCTGAGCAACATGTCCGATGTGTTCATGGGCAAGATGCTTAACCCCGAATTCCTCCTGCTGCTAAGGCAGCAGTGTATGAATGGGTTTAGTTACTTCTGATGGATGACACTACATAGCAACAACTACCATCAGTGTGTGACTGTGTAGGTGTGACATACAGTGTATAAGTGCTTTGAGTAGTCGGAAGACTAGAAAAGCGCTATAAGTTCAAGTCCATTTACTGGATGCAAACAACCTTTGTTTTATGTGCATCTCTGTCTTGAAAAAATATTTCACATTGTCAGAGATCTCACTTATTGATCTTGTCAAGCATCATAATGATGGTCCTGTACCAACACTAAATGCAAAGAAAAAAGGTTTTATTCTACTTCTACTTTTACTCTCAGGCAATGTTAAACCAAATCCAGGCCCTGCACTGAATAATATTGCTACACCTGATGAATTCAGAGCCAGAACTGGCCTTGGTATCATTCATATCATTGTTCGGAGCCTTGTCCCAAAATTGGACCTAATTAAAATTTGGACACAGTCAACTGATACTGATATTCTTGTATTGTCTGAAACATGGCTTGGTAAGTCAGTCTCAGACAAATATATTTTTATTAAAGGTTACAATGTCTTTCGTAGTGATCGGCCCAGAAAAGGTGGTGGCGTTGCTATTTATGTCAAAAATAAGTTCCATGCTACCATCTGTGACCATCAGCAAGCAATTTGAACTTTTTGCCCTGAAACTTGAATTCTCTCAGGGCCAGTCTATCTCAGTTTTGGGTTGTTATAGACCTCCTTCAGCCTGTTTGGAAGCCTTGTCCTCCTTCCAGTGAGCTACTTTTGGTTGGGGATCTAAATTGTGATTGGCTTGTCCACAGCCACGGACAGCCTCAGATCTGTTTGTGCCTCTCTAAACTTGTCTCAACTGATTGATAGTCCAACTTGTCCTAATATTAAACAACCCACAAGATCAACCCTACTGGACTTAATTTTGACAAATTCCCCTCATAAGTACACAGATATAGGGGTTTTTGCAAATGATCATTATGCCTTTGCAACAGTTCGAAATGCCAAACTTCCCAAAACCAAGCCTCGGCTTCTTCTTAAAAGAGATTTTAAACACTTTTACAAACAAGCTTTCGCTTGAAGCCTTTGGCTCAATCTTAAAAGATAAAATACACGAGTCAATTGGAGAGTGCCTGTGTTTCTGAATTGTAATCCGTGATCAAGATTCTGCACTTTATTTGTAAATCAATTTGCACATTGTAAATCGTTGTTCTCTCTTAACTTGTTGTTTGTAAACTGTCTCTTTGTCATGTAATGCTTTTTATGACGTGTGCTGCTGCCTTATTGGCCAAGTCACCCTTGTGAAAGAGATCCTGATCTCAATGGGTTATTTATCTGGTTAAATAAAGGTTAAATAAAATAAAATAAAAATTTACCATTTACCATTATAAAGGTCAATAGATGAAGGGGATGTAGAGATGAGCATGAGGATGAGGTATGAATGGCTGAGGGTAAGGGTCGAGGGATGAGGGTTGAGGTATGAATGGATGAGTGTAAGGGTCGAGGAATGAAGGTTGAGGTATGAATGGATAGGGGTAAGTGTTGGAAGATGTGGGTTGAGAGTAAGGGTCGAGGGATGTGGGATGAAGGGAGGGGGGTAAAGGTTGAGAGTTTGCAGGATGCTGACATGTGATGAAAACGTTGTGCTGATGTTGTAGTCAGAGACCAAGACATTCCCCAGAAAGGAATGCTCAGAGACCGAATCAAGACCGAGGCAGAGCGAGGCCGAGATAAGAACAAGACCATAAATATCTCTGAAAAATCATCATCTTGTGTGCAGCAGGCGTGTCACTCACTTAGACCATTTGCGGATGTAACCCAGGGATAAAAATCAAGTTATGAATCAATTGAAGTTATTTATTATTTCTTCTAATTACAGTAATGACAGAGAAAAATAGCTTTACAGTGGTGTTCGTGACTGATCTTGATTTGTAATCCGGAGTCCTCCTGGTCTGAGACTGAGACAAAACCAAGCAAAAATGCTTTCGATTCCAAGCAAGACTGAGACCTCCAAAAACTGGTCTTAAGGCCGGTCTTGAGACAAAGGCCAATTTCGAGTACTAGAACACTTTGTTGTGCAGTCCTGCACAAAGAGGGACACCTGGTCACCCAAAGAAAACTAGTATCCATTATTACAAAGACCAAATACTTTTTGAAATAAGACACTTTAAAATGTATCAACCAGACGGAACAAACTTTGTCTTTAGTGAGAGCAAAACACAAACAAGCTCAGCGCGTTAGTGAAGTGTCAGTTTTACACCTGCAGATACACCATGTCATCTTTCTACAGAAGCTAGTTTCCATTGTGCGGGATTTGACACAAGTTACTTTAAAAATAACAATAGGCTTGGGCTGTTGGCCTGGGTCTCATTTCTGATAGCTGTCGTTCTCATGTATCTAATTTAAGAACTTGGTCTCATTAACCACAAAGTCCACACAGTGAGACACACACGTATCCTCTGTACAGTCTCAGTGTTCAGCTTCATCATGGCCGGACGTCTGCTGTTTGTCTTCTTTATGTGTAAGTAAAACCTTTATTGATTTATTCAGTATTATTGTGGACTATTATAAAGCTCTGCAGATTGAAACATGACGTTAATGTGTCATGTCAGATATCATCATATCAGTGATTAAGCTTTGAGTCGGTGATATTGTGTTTTGTGTTCTGCCAGTTGTGACAAATAAAATCTATTTTTGTCTCGGTTAATAATTCCACTTTTGATTAAAATAAATAAATAGTTGGAGGAGTTGAAATGTGTGAACTCTTGGAGTTATTATTATGTAGTCACCTTACTTTCACTGTGTTTTTTAAACAGATGTCTTTAATGGGATTCAAACAGAAGGTCAGTCTGTGATCTTTCATCGTTCATGTCTAACTGTTCTGTGATCGCTGCACTACTGAAGAATTTAAACATTTATGTGCAGCTTATGTTTGAGTTTGATAAAACATATTCATGGTTTATATTTTCAGCTGGTCTTCCACCTAAACTTACAGTGAATCCAGCGGTGATCAAAGAGACAGACTCAGTCACACTGAACTGTCAGACTCCATCATCAGTGTCTCAGTGTTTTTACCAAACTTTAAGTTGAGAAACTGTGAAGATATTTTCCTGTCTGCAGACACTGACAGGAAGTGAACTGCTGAGGATGGATCA